ATATGTACTGTCTCAGTATATGGAGCATAGCATGCATTTTTATTCTGTTCACAATTTCTGCTTGCCTATTAGTCGTCCAGCGATTTATTTTGTAGGATCAATTCACCTCCTCTTTCAAGGAAGCCTTGGATAGTAAATGGAAAAGTATTAAGGCAGTTTTTCTATTGCCCAGGCTGTGGAGGTGGGGGAGGTTGAGGTTGTGGTTGAGGCTGAGGTTGCGGTTGCGGTTGTGGTTGCGGTTGTGGTTGCGGTTGTGGTTGCGGTTGTGGTTGTGGTGGTTGTGGTGATTGTGGTGGCGGGGCCGCTCCAGGAGGAGGAACCGGTTGAGGTTGACCCGGTTGCGGAGGAGGTGGAGCCTGACCTGGAGGAGGTTGTGGTTGGCCGGGTTGTGGTGGTGGAGGAGGGCCAAGGATAGGTCGTAGTACAGCTCCAACAAGTCCATTTACGCCATTAATAAGACCCTATTAAATTAGTTGCAATAAATAAGGATGGTAAAGAGGAGAAATAGAAAATTATCAGTGTATTGATCTCTTGCGAGAGCTTAGAGTGGAGTAAAATTATCTTTGCTTACCCCAACCAAAGCAGGAATAGGGCGAGGAACTGGAGTCTGACCGGGAGGAGTTACGGTCACAGTGACAGTCACTTGTGGTGGTTGGCCTGGCGGTGGTGGAATCGGGTTTGCCGGAGGAGGGACAGGAACCGGGTTTGGAATTGGTGCCGGAGCAGGAACTGGTGCCGGAGTCGGTAGTTGTGGTGGAGCAGGTCCTGGTGCTGGAGCGGGAATTGGAGTCTGTCCGTTTGCTGGTACAGTCACTGTCACTGTTGCCGGAGGCAAACCTAGCGGATTCCCGTTAATGCTATAAACAGCGAATAAGATCAAAGCGGCATTTTTAATTTGCATGATGCTTGTTATGCTCTTACGTAGTAAGGATGACGATGATTACCAAAAACCGAGGAAGCTTGCTTTTATATTCCCTGCCTTCTTGTCGATGCAAGCAAAGCGGAACGCGCATTTGAACGGCGCCAGAAGCCACATTCATTCTGAGTTACTCAGCGAATTCAGAAAAGCGTATTATGCAGAGCCGCCATGAAGCATACAGGATCGCATGCTCATATCACAGATTTAAGAACGCCTACTACGTGATTAGACCCACATGCCGAGTGTTCTGCGAAGTAAGCTGACACAATCAACTGATGTCGATATAGCTTCAGCAAAACTAAAAGAGCCAGGAAAGCGTCACTTTGGATCATAGTGACGCCGGAGTTGAATGTATAGAGATATCAGCGCATAGAGTAGAACTAGCAACCTACGTCAGAGCAGCTAAACTGCCATTTTGTAAACATTATATTAAATGCTAGCCGCCAAATGAATATGATATCGATACATATGCCATTTAAACCTAATCTTAATTGACAATTTCGGATGCAATGAGCCATATCAATCATTCTACACAAGTTATTTAAAGTACGGTGCATACAATACCATGGCCCCTGAATCAGTCCGAAATTATCTCCACGGAGACTTTGGAATGAGGAAACAAAATTAGTGCGAGCGGCCAAATCGGACAAATTAGTCTGAATAACAATAATTGCCGATCTAAAAATATTGACTAAACATGGCTTGTTCTATTTCAAAAGATGGGGAAAATGACAGTGTGCTCTGTGGGATTCGAACCCACGCCTCCGAAGAGATGGCGGCCTTAACGCCAAATGCACCTCACGAACCGCGGTCGCTAATTTCAAAATGAGGCTTTAATGAATGAAGAGACCACAAAATAAATACTATCTATGAATATGAGAATCAGCATATCCTTTAAATATTTCGCCCATAATGGTACGACCGCGGTTATTCAATTCGGATGCTGGTCCCACACCGCGGTCGATTAATATGGGAGTGGCGTTTCAAATTGTGAGACCGCGGTTACCAGCCTCATGACCGCGGTTCGCATTACAATGGACTTCGCTACTATATAAACCAGGGCAGCTTATACTGTAAGTCCCACTTATCATAAGATCTCTAGATAAAAAAATCAAAAACAAACAATGTGAGTACGCTTTCTTGCGCCAATGGGCAGTGAAAATACTTTAAATACAGTGTGATCGAATTTATTTTACTTACATTAGGATTATGTGCATAGAACAGAAATGGCGCCATGCAAGTCGAGCACAAACGAAAATGTCCAAACATATCCATACTTGCGGCAAGTTAAGAAGGACAGAAAAGGTCGGGTCGCCATGAACAAGATCGTAAAACAGGTCGAAGAAATCGTGGGCTACTTACAACCCTTGCAAGTCTCCAATGAACAACAAACTCAGATTATTGAGCATCTCGAAGAAAAAGTTAGTGGACACAGAATACAGACCATAAGCCCTACCACAAAAGCCTTGACCGGAGTGGCAATTGCAGGTTTGGCTTCCTCGCCGCTTATCAATTTGCTCGATAGCACCGGTCTTGGTCTTAGCTTGGGATTGGGTATCGCGTATGGCAGGAAAGTAGGAGAAAAGATCGCCAGTGTTTTGGAGGATGCATCGATAATTCCAAAACAACAAAAACTCGCTTTGCAAAACGTTGCGTGCCCTGTATGTTTATCGTTTTTATCCTTTTCGGAGGAAGAATTGCAAGCTATTGAAGAGCGGGGCTACATCGTCAAGACATGTGGTGAATGCTCCCAACCTTTGCGGATGACGGAACAATCAATTCGACTCATTCCCCAAAAGGGAATTCAATTTTACATATCTCCCAAATGTATCTGCGGATATCATGTATTATCTGGTGTGATCCGAGAGGAAGTGATTCAAACAATTGTGACTTGTTCACATTGTGAGCGAAAGTATTATGTCAGTCGGGATATGGAATTGTGCTCCTTGTACACTGACATGCAAGCCATGATAAATGAAAGAAAGAGAGATAGTTAGAGCAACAATCTGTGAAAGTGTAGCATTTTTATTTCGGTGGATACTGTTATTTGTGAAATAATGTCGTTTCAAATTAAATTATTCGGTCTCCAAACTCCTCGAAATTATTGTTGAAAAATGTGGGATACTTGGAACAATAAACATTTTCTATCAAAATAGCGGACAGTTTGCATGACGTGTTGGGGCAGCCGATTACTTTAAGTATGGGTAATGATTTCCAAATTTTATAATTGTGAATTTAGCGTTTCGGACTTTCTTCTGGGGGGAGCTTACAATAGACTTGGTATAAGGTCGTCTGAGATTCCGGTATTTGTCTTTCATATTCATTACCATGTTACCGAATATTCAGAATGTAATAAGCAGATTTCCAAAGAAAGGCAAAATATAAATTTATATTATCGGGTATGTTTAAACACATTATAGTTTGTACATATGTACTGTCTCAGTATATGGAGCATAGCATGCATTTTTATTCTGTTCACAATTTCTGCTTGCCTATTAGTCGTCCAGCGATTTATTTTGTAGGATCAATTCACCTCCTCTTTCAAGGAAGCCTTGGATAGTAAATGGAAAAGTATTAAGGCAGTTTTTCTATTGCCCAGGCTGTGGAGGTGGGGGAGGTTGAGGTTGTGGTTGAGGCTGAGGTTGCGGTTGCGGTTGTGGTTGCGGTTGTGGTTGCGGTTGTGGTTGCGGTTGTGGTTGTGGTGGTTGTGGTGATTGTGGTGGCGGGGCCGCTCCAGGAGGAGGAACCGGTTGAGGTTGACCCGGTTGCGGAGGAGGTGGAGCCTGACCTGGAGGAGGTTGTGGTTGGCCGGGTTGTGGTGGTGGAGGAGGGCCAAGGATAGGTCGTAGTACAGCTCCAACAAGTCCATTTACGCCATTAATAAGACCCTATTAAATTAGTTGCAATAAATAAGGATGGTAAAGAGGAGAAATAGAAAATTATCAGTGTATTGATCTCTTGCGAGAGCTTAGAGTGGAGTAAAATTATCTTTGCTTACCCCAACCAAAGCAGGAATAGGGCGAGGAACTGGAGTCTGACCGGGAGGAGTTACGGTCACAGTGACAGTCACTTGTGGTGGTTGGCCTGGCGGTGGTGGAATCGGGTTTGCCGGAGGAGGGACAGGAACCGGGTTTGGAATTGGTGCCGGAGCAGGAACTGGTGCCGGAGTCGGTAGTTGTGGTGGAGCAGGTCCTGGTGCTGGAGCGGGAATTGGAGTCTGTCCGTTTGCTGGTACAGTCACTGTCACTGTTGCCGGAGGCAAACCTAGCGGATTCCCGTTAATGCTATAAACAGCGAATAAGATCAAAGCGGCATTTTTAATTTGCATGATGCTTGTTATGCTCTTACGTAGTAAGGATGACGATGATTACCAAAAACCGAGGAAGCTTGCTTTTATATTCCCTGCCTTCTTGTCGATGCAAGCAAAGCGGAACGCGCATTTGAACGGCGCCAGAAGCCACATTCATTCTGAGTTACTCAGCGAATTCAGAAAAGCGTATTATGCAGAGCCGCCATGAAGCATACAGGATCGCATGCTCATATCACAGATTTAAGAACGCCTACTACGTGATTAGACCCACATGCCGAGTGTTCTGCGAAGTAAGCTGACACAATCAACTGATGTCGATATAGCTTCAGCAAAACTAAAAGAGCCAGGAAAGCGTCACTTTGGATCATAGTGACGCCGGAGTTGAATGTATAGAGATATCAGCGCATAGAGTAGAACTAGCAACCTACGTCAGAGCAGCTAAACTGCCATTTTGTAAACATTATATTAAATGCTAGCCGCCAAATGAATATGATATCGATACATATGCCATTTAAACCTAATCTTAATTGACAATTTCGGATGCAATGAGCCATATCAATCATTCTACACAAGTTATTTAAAGTACGGTGCATACAATACCATGGCCCCTGAATCAGTCCGAAATTATCTCCACGGAGACTTTGGAATGAGGAAACAAAATTAGTGCGAGCGGCCAAATCGGACAAATTAGTCTGAATAACAATAATTGCCGATCTAAAAATATTGACTAAACATGGCTTGTTCTATTTCAAAAGATGGGGAAAATGACAGTGTGCTCTGTGGGATTCGAACCCACGCCTCCGAAGAGATGGCGGCCTTAACGCCACGCCTTAGACCAACTCGGCCAAAAGCACTTGATGAGTAAAGGTCGTTCATATAATATATGGTTTATATGGTTTCTCTTGAAAGTCACTCTCAAACCCAGAGTTTCTCACAGTTTCGGTTGCAAGCTATATTATTAATCAGATAAATAGATATTACTATTTACATCTTATCTGCCATACTCCAGAGCAATGACACATATTTTATCTAGTCACAGTTACCACCCGTCAGCATCATCTTGTTCGTCCATAAACACTGCCCACTTCGACGATTGCTTGACATGCTTTGAAATTGAATTCGTTTCATAGCCGAAAGGCTCGGAACGCTGGTCTGACTGTTGTTTTTGATGCGTCGTAAGCTCAGTTTTACAATTGTAGGACTCGGTAGCGTCTGGCCAATGTGTGTCCGTATTTGAATTGCCATTTGAATTTTTAGCGTGGTGTGACTTTCTGTACGGGGCACCTCTTGAAGATAGTTGATTTTTTACACCGAATGGTTTCATGGGCCTCACGCCGACCTTGATATTCTTTTTAGGAACATGATCATGATTGGAGCGAATTCCAGATATACCGGAAGGTTTTGGTCGTGAGCGTTCACTAACTTCGGTTTCAGCTTGATCGGTATTCGAAGTAATTCTCGCAAACCCGAAAGTGTTGTCTTCCTAAGGTATGGTTAGAATCAGAATAATCAATCCCACCCAGTAAGTAGTCAATGGAGATAACTAACATCTACCGACTCCGTTATTTCCTCTTCGTCAACGTAATCCACCCACCTCTGTCTGGTGGTTTTAGATGCACCTCGACTTTCATCCACTTTATTCTTTTTCATTTCCTTCGAGTCGTTGCGTTTGGAAGGTACTGATAAAGCTTGCGCCAACTTCATCTCCTCTTTCATACTCTCCATTTCGCCCCTCTTCATGTTCAGATCTTGGCAAACTTTTCTACATTCTGCGGCAGAGGAAGATTCATAGAAAACCTAAGCAGATTAAATGTCGTGACCATGCGCAATCACGTTATGGCAAATTAGTTAATCTAATCACTAAAGTTCAACGAAGAAGTGGCGGTTTGAACGGACGATAACGGGAAAATGGAAACGAATTCTATGTACATTCTGCAAACTTTGCTTCTGTTGACATATCTTTATTTAGAAGTGTTCATAGGATATGGAAGATAAAATTTATAACCCGGTTAGAGAAAACGAAATTAATGCAAACTAATATGACCAAGAAGGCACACCTTACAAGTCCACTTGTTTGTGGTCGTTTTTACTTGTTGAACCTGAATCAGTTCAAGAAGTGAAAATATATCCTCTGCATCGAATTATAGACAGCTCAACAATACCTGAAAGACACCGCAGTCTCCTGAAAAGCATTTGATTACATGATACTGTACCATCTTCGATAATTATTGTGTGAAATTGTCGAGAACCAAAGATCGCGCTGCGCGGTCATCCAGGTCCATCCGACTTGATTTTTGGCCAAGTTGCGTACGCATCAAGCTTCAAAGTGCATAAAAAATTCTTCGAATAAACGTTACAAAATGCAATAAAAACGTTGTATAATGTCCAAAAACAAGAAGCAGAGAATTGAATTATTCCAATGTATTCTGCTCGCACACTGTTTTCATCAGTTCATGCAGAGTTGCCACTTGCGTAATTGCAGTTTGGTCAATTCGCACCATAATGTAATAATAATGAGGATTTGCAAAACTACTAATCCAGAGAGTTCGAGAGCATGGAAATGCAAATTCCTTTTAGCTTCTAATATTGCGTATCTCTGTTTGGATCGAGCATCGGTACACTATAACTGTAACAGTGAACTCATCACGTCTCATTTCATGAATGGAGGTCTCAGAAATGGGGGCGTCACCATCTACATTTTAATATCTTATTCAATGGCGACAACTATTCCGATGAAGTAACAACGAATTCTACCAATATTCAATAGATGGCGTGATTTTTATAATTGTAAAAAGCATTTGGACTGCAGATTGATCCTTTTTCGGCTGCTATAAAAGGACTTCAAAGTACCCTCTATTTCTACACCACTCATTGCCAACTCAATCATTCCAATTGACCTTCAACAACATCAATTAGAAATCCCAAAATGAGTGCGTCCTACTCGCATTGCCCCATCGTCTTCTGGATTCTAAGACTAACAACAACATGCAGCTTACGGTTACGAACAAAAAGAAGAAAGCCAATACGGCAACGAATCCTATGATTCTTACGGAAACAAGGAAGAAAGTTATGGTAGGTTAAATACATACAGTGCCCTCGATGGATTTGAAGATGATGGCATCTAAACTTTACGCGTCTCTTTGTAATCGTGGACAGGTTACGAGGCATCCACCGACTACGGTTACGCCAAGGAAGAGGAGTCAAGCTACAAAGAAGAATCCACCGACTATGGCTATGGCAAGGAAGAGAATCCAAGGATTATGGTTATGGCAAAGAAGAGGAATCAAGCTACAAAGAAGAATCCACTGACTACGTTATGGCAAAGAAGAGAATCCAAGGATTACGGATACGGTGAAGAATCCAAAGACTATGGATACGAAAAGGAAGAACTCACCGACTATGGTTATGGCAAAGAAGAAAGCTACAAAGAAGAATCCACTGACTACGGTTATGGCAAAGAAGAGAATCCAAGGATTACGGATACGGTGAAGAATCCAAAGACTATGGATACGAAAAGGAAGAACTCACCGACTATGGTTATGGCAAAGAAGAAAGCTACAAAGAAGAATCCACTGACTACGGTTATGGCAAAGAAGAGAATCCAAGGATTACGGATACGGTGAAGAATCCAAAGACTATGGATACGAAAAGGAAGAACTCACCGACTATGGTTATGGCAAAGAAGAAAGCTACAAAGAAGAATCCACTGACTACGGTTATGGCAAAGAAGAGAATCCAAGGATTACGGATACGGTGAAGAATCCAAAGACTATGGATACGAAAAGGAAGAACTCACCGACTATGGTTATGGCAAAGAAGAAAGCTACAAAGAAGAATCCACTGACTACGGTTATGGCAAAGAAGAGAATCCAAGGATTACGGATACGGTGAAGAATCCAAAGACTATGGATACGAAAAGGAAGAACTCACCGACTATGGTTATGGCAAAGAAGAAAGCTACAAAGAAGAATCCACTGACTACGGTTATGGCAAAGAAGAGAATCCAAGGATTACGGATACGGTGAAGAATCCAAAGACTATGGATACGAAAAGGAAGAACTCACCGACTATGGTTATGGCAAAGAAGAAAGCTACAAAGAAGAATCCACTGACTACGGTTATGGCAAAGAAGAGAATCCAAGGATTACGGATACGGTGAAGAATCCAAAGACTATGGATACGAAAAGGAAGAACTCACCGACTATGGTTATGGCAAAGAAGAAAGCTACAAAGAAGAATCCACTGACTACGGTTATGGCAAAGAAGAGAATCCAAGGATTACGGATACGGTGAAGAATCCAAAGACTATGGATACGAAAAGGAAGAACTCACCGACTATGGTTATGGCAAAGAAGAAAGCTACAAAGAAGAATCCACTGACTACGGTTATGGCAAAGAAGAGAATCCAAGGATTACGGATACGGTGAAGAATCCAAAGACTATGGATACGAAAAGGAAGAACTCACCGACTATGGTTATGGCAAAGAAGAAAGCTACAAAGAAGAATCCACTGACTACGGTTATGGCAAAGAAGAGAATCCAAGGATTACGGATACGGTGAAGAATCCAAAGACTATGGATACGAAAAGGAAGAACTCACCGACTATGGTTATGGCAAAGAAGAAAGCTACAAAGAAGAATCCACTGACTACGGTTATGGCAAAGAAGAGAATCCAAGGATTACGGATACGGTGAAGAATCCAAAGACTATGGATACGAAAAGGAAGAATGACCACGGAAAGGATAATGGTTGGTTAACGCGCTTCAATTCCTTGTCCGCGTTTGCGGTCTGTTTATTAACTGTCTTTTGACCTTGCTAGACTACAAGAACGACAGTTACGAAGAAACTAACTATGGATATGGTTATGAAAACGAAGATAACAAAGATAACTCTTACGCTGAAGATGACTACGCTGACCATGCCGACTACACTGATTCTTATGGTTCGTGATCTTATTTCAAATGTCCATCATCAACTACAAAATTGACTAACAATGATTTATTACCAAAGCTGAACAAGATTACGGGTATACCTACGATTGCGACTATTCCAGCTCGTACACCTGTGTTTGTTAGAGTTTAAACGGGAAGTGCGTTAGTTAATAGAATGCAAATTGTAATAGTCTTAGTGTTCTAGAACTAGATCCTGGTAGTTGTGTTATACGAAGCAGATTTCATGGTGTTGACTAGTTTTGGAATTTCGTCAATAAAGCGAACTTTTCCCTGCTTGAACAAATAATAGCTGTTGAATGAAGGTCACCAAGCCCCGAACCATCATCACATCCATCTGATCCCAGACTGCCTATTCCAAGAATACCATTTCGGTTTTACCTTGAATTCCATTGGTTCTGGATTTCATAATTTCATATAAGTTCTGTGTCTGAATTTCTACCATCGAAATTGTGTCGTTAATATATTAAATCTTAGTATAGCAATCACGTGCGCTCATATTTTCGCCCTTTGTCGTCCTCAGTCCGTTTCGACCAAACTCAGCGCCCGAAAGTTCATCCGTTCCTCACTATTAACACCCCCAGATTGCGAGAAGTACAACGATGTTCAACCCATACGGAATGTCCTCTCGCCCTATCTCTCGAGATAAGGCGGAGATGGATCTTGCCCTGGCTATCAAGAAAGCGACTTCGCAAGAAGAGACCTCGCCGAAACAAAAACATGTTCGAACATGTATCGTGTACACTTGGGACTACAAAACTTCCGTCCCTTTCTGGAATGGAATTAAAGCCCAACCTGTATTTGCGGATGAGGTTCAGTGTTTTAAAGCGCTCATTACAATGCATAAGGTCATTCGTGGCGGTCATCCAGCGGTATGCTTTCTGTCTTGGTGGTCGAAACCTTA